GGGGGAAATGTGTCTATGGGTGTGCAGTGTTTGTATGGGGGGAAGGAGGGTAGGGAGGCTTTTTAATATATTTGTTTTAATTTTTATTTAATAAAGTTAATATAATTATGTCCCCCCTCCCTTCTTACCTTTATTGAGGAGGAGGGGGGACAGTTCTCGTTCCCTGGTGGTCCGGTGGGGATTCCCTGGTGGTCCCAGGAGTGATAAGGTGAACTCTAGCCCTTTGCTCCAGGGCTAGAGTTCACTCTCGCGAGATTTGGAGCATTGCCGCGGCAACGCTCCGTGCTCGCGAGAGTAGGACCCGGAGGAGCTGCAGGTAAGAGCTCCCGGGTCCTCTCTCCCTCCCTCCCCTGCCGGCTGTCAGCACGGTGCCTGCGGACCGGGGAGGGAGATCTCTGATCTCCCTCCCCGGTCCGCAGGCACATTGCAGGGCTGGCACTTGGACAATGCCAGCCCTGCATTAGCCGGCAGGGGAGAGCCTCGGGGGGGGGGGCAATTGCCCCGTTGCCCCCCCGGATCCGTCAGTGACTTACCTTGGTACTCCCATTAAGGAATTACGCAGACACTTTGTGGACAAGCACTTTTGGCAAGTGTATTTTCACACTACAAACTTGGACATTCAAATATTGGACTTTTTTGCTCCTGTTGGGACTGCAGTATATATACCTGTGTGCTATATTATAGCTTCCTTACCGCAATTCATGCGAAAACATACAAATAAGGTGTGTTCGGATTTGCGCATATAAAAGCATATGAAATCAAACCAAACATACAAATTCAAACGAACAACCTATGAATGGATTGCCAACAAGCATCCTACCCATGTTCTCCACAAAACAGATTGTGAATAAAAATGTATAAAAAATGTGGAATAAAAATAAAATTACATTAAAAATATAAATATAACAATAAATAAATGTAATAATGAAATAAAATAGAATGAAATGAAAATAATAATAATAAAATATATTGAATATATAAAAAGGGCATGTCCACAAGATGCCAGGTAGCAATCCATCCATATGTAACTTTATATGGAATTCCCATTGATATAAAACAGAAACCAGAAAAGAGGGAGAGACTTAAATTAGACCAGTCAAATCAATGTCTATATTTATACCTAACTTGAGGGTTTTTAGATTGAAGATCCATTGTGGTTCTTTTTTTTAGCAAGCTCCAATGATCTGTTACCTCCTCTCCAATTTATTGCCACCTGGCCTATCCCTATAGCTATGAGATTGTGCCATTGAAAAGGTGGACATGTATTGAGTGTCTAGGGACACTGGTCAGTTTTCTTTTTCCTCCTATTATTAAAATGCTCATGTATTCTAACATTCTGTCAATGTATTGAGCCCCACAGCCACATTGCAACAGGTAGACCACATGAGAAGAAGAGCACTGTATAAACGTCTTAATTTTGTATTCTTTTTGAGTGTAAGTACAGGTAAAAGTCTTTGTGGTACTTTTCTGATGTATATATGTTGAACAATGACCACAGATATAAAATCAATTTTTGTTTGTACTTGGTGTGGTTATTCTTTGATTTCTATTTTTACTTTCTGGGAGTAGACTTAGAGTGTATTTACTTTTAAGATTGTCTGCTTTCTTGTAAATTGTAATTGGGCGGTCGGGGATGATTTTACCTAAAATATCATCTTTTTGGAGGATGTGCCAATGTTTAAGCACCTTCTCGATCTTTTTAGCATTAACATTATATTGAGTCACAAAGGCATATTAAAATTTATTCTGCTTGACTGGATATCTGTTTTTATTCTCTGCAAGGAGTTCTGATCCATTTAAATTTTTTACTATAATTTAACCTTTCCATTTTTTTAAGATCATAGCCCTTATTTTGTGTATTTTTGGTGTATTACACATTGTTTTTGAACTGTTTACACATATATTTAATGTTCTACCTACTGCCTTAGACAAAAACAAGAATGTAAAAAAATTGTAATTTGGACAATGAAATACACAATAGAAAAAAGGTGCAAATGTAAAAAGTTACACCAAGCACCAGTACCATATCAGTATTTTAAAGTGATTTTGGTACAAATACCCAGTATGTGCAGTGTTTTAGGGCCATTCTTACTAAGCCCACTAAACACAACAGCCCACTACACTATCTAGAGGCACACAAAGGAGACCCTATGGGGTTGGTAAAAAAGGGAATAGAGCAAATTCTCACCATAAGAAAGGAAGGAGGAAAAAAAGGCTCCCTAATGGGAAACCTCCTGGATTTTAAAATTAGGTATTTTATATAATTGTGGTGTAACATCTCTATATTTGGCTTCATATTCGTAGTATTTATCAATTATTTGAAATGTAGTCTTAGATGTCTATGTTGAAAAAAGACTAAAGGCCATCAAGTGCAACCTTGAAACCCATTATTTTATACTACAAATGCCTTCTTGACTAAATAATGTCAATCAGGTTTCTCCTTAGATGAACAACCTGTTTATATACTTTAAAATTATATCCTTAAATATTCTGTTTATACAAAAAAGCATCCAAACTTTTTTCTTTAATAGAAACATAGAAACATAGAATGTGACGGCAGATAAGAACCATTCGGCCCATCTAGTCTGCCCAAATTTTTTTTTTTAATCTATAGAATTGGATAAGACAACCTCTTTAAGCAGAGGATTCTACATCTTTATTGCTCTTACTGTAAAGAACCCTTCCTTCTGCTGTAAGTGAAAACGCCTGTCTTCCAGTCTCAATGGGTGATCTCTTGTCTGTTGCATATTCCTGATAATGTACAGGTTTGCACATAGCGATTTATACTGACCCTATATATATTTGTATACAGATGCTCCTCACTTACCAACCAGGTTCCGTTCTTACGACCCATTTGTAAAATTAATTGGTCGGTAAGTGAGGCGCATGAGCACCAGTGCAGGTCTATGTTCGGGAACATTTCCCATA